GTGTCCTTTCTTTTCTGCGCCGGTCCTCAAATCGAAGAGACGATGGACTGCAACGGTATGTCACACGGGGATGGAGGAAGTCACCGCTCTCCACCCTGTGCCCGTACGGACGACCATAATACAACAAACAGTCCACAAGAAGATCGCCAAAAGTGGACAGCAAAAGATAAACAGAAGGCTTCCGGGGAACCGGAAGATCCACCAAAGCTTGACCAGGAAAGAGAGCCGGCAGAGAGGGAACAGGAAGAAGAGTCCTCTGAACGCAGACCGACAGAAGATACTGCTCCTGAAATGGACTCTGATGGGAAGCCTGATGAAAAGCCGCCTAGAAGCACTTCTTGGAGTCGAGCACTGCCTTCAAGCTGCCGCCAGTCGTGAATTTCAAATGAACCGCGCCCTGCCGAACTCGCTTAAGCTAAACACCGTAGGTTTAGGTATTCTACTGTACCCTGCACATTATCAATGTACGATGCAGGCTGGTGAATGTTTGAATTTATCAGTCTCGCTGATAAATGCATCAATCTCGCTAATCAATATAGCAATCGCGCTGATGAATGTATATCGCAATTAAGTCCACGTTATTAGGGATCTTTGTACTATTCACTTGGTTTTTCTGATTGACTTGATTGAACTGATCGGTAGAAGACGAAAATGATGCCTACTCGGGATGTGAAACAAGTCGGTATAATAATGTTGGACTGCAATGCTTCTGGTGATTGCTGAATAATTAATCGTTGTAATATGGCAAATGCTCGCGCTCGCGTATGTACATGTTCATGCTCGCGCGAATGTAGGTACATGCACGCGCGAAATGTATAGTCGACTACAGAATGATGTTCCACTTTTCACAGGCAATTATGTGCCTGGAGTGATAGGCTGTGCCGCATCGCATCACCCGGGCTGAGTTCACAAATTATAGCTTTGCCCCAATGCTCACAATCGACACGCTCAATTGCGTGATAAACGGCACAACTTAGCGCTCCGGTCAACTGATAGCTTCTGAGGAGTGGAACATCATTCTGTAGTCGACTATACATGCACGCGAAATGGGTACTTCTCCCTGCTACCCTCTATCCCCACCGACAGAGAAGTTTACTGCCCCAGCTTTATCTGCCCGTACCTATTGCAGATCTCTAAAACGGTGCATATGCGTCAAAATGATCTCGCAATCAACAGCATCTACTTCTTCTACAGGTGATACTGATGCCTTTTGGGTGCTGTGTGGAATGCTAATCCTGCAATTGTTATGGAATCACAAAATACATTATTACGATACCCTCTATCTGCAAACCGGACAAATATGCTTTCGGTTGTTTATGTCGGCGAACCTTATTCTCGACATATCCGTGCGATTTCAACATATAATCACATTGTTACACTATGAAAACATTACCGGAGACGAAATAATCATTTTGAAGAATAGCGTGGCATTTGTTACCTATGCATTACAAATTACAATGCACATTACCTTACACATTTTATGGGCACCGATGAACTCTGAAGTCCGGTCGCCCTATAATCACAAATCATTAATTACATTACACGTACCATACAACGATGATAATTCAGCTTAGCGCGAAATATTCTTGATCGAATCGGTGCTGCTCAGTGGCCCTTCCCTAAACCGAAAACATCATGCAGCAAGAAGTGTGCTAAATTTTTGCGTTCCGCTGTGTTTCAGGTCCGGTCGTATCAACCTCGTCCGCGGTCCGGCTGGTTCTCCGTTCTACGCTGTGGCCTGTGGTTTCTCGAGGAAGAAACCAACGCAAAGTCGACAGTTTATCCGGTGTTCCGCAGGCTTCTGCGTCGATCTGAGCTAACAAGGCTGGCTACATGGGCAGAGCGGCAGCTGCCAGCTGCCTTTGGCTGTCTAGTGGCTATACCGACATAGAAGATAGGTAACCACTTCAACTGCTGTTCGGTCTAAATCTGGCGAGCCCTATTCAAACTTCCCTAAAGCTGATAGCTGTCTGAGTCTCTGCTACGATGAAGCTCGTGCTTTCAGTTTTATGTCGTAACTCGTAAGGACAATTTCGTTACGTGTAGTTCGAGTGCCGTACAAACGGTTTCAGATTAGGATCTATTTTTGGGGAAAAACGACCATTCGCTTATGCGCACTATTCCCTTTTAATTGCTATCTTATCGTTTTACCATTATTGCCTTCTAATTTCTCATATGGCGGCCAGAAGTCCCTTTAATCCGGCACTGGCAGCCCCAGATTCTAGGATGACGAGGCCAGGGTCATCTCATTCCGGCTTCCACACTGCCCGCTACACTGTCGAGTGTCGCGTTTACATAACATTTTTGACGAGGCTCTAGCTCGTTTATTTGGCAATAATTTCGATGTAGTAGTATAACTATTCTATCTTCAACTATTTAGAGGGGATTAAGCACCATTGGCATCTTTTGCAACATCACGGACTGAGATATAAGCTTGCAACAAACCCTATGTAAACGCGTCTGTTGACAGGTCATTGGGATACTTTGCACCTATCAGTATCTATGGAGAGTCACCGCCTCAGCTGAATGCATTGCGTGCGGTCTACTGTGCAGGAAACGAGCAATGCTTGACGATTCCCATCCCCTCTGTTTTTCCCATAGAGCAACCTACAGAACGAGGCGGAGCGCCCGCCGCTGCAGATGGCGCCACCGGGACTGGCGAGCGACCTCCAGCAGCTGGCGCCGCCCTCGGTGGAGCTCACGCTGGCACAGATGGCAGCACCGTCGACTGGTCACCGGCGTCGGTGTTTCTCGAGCCGCTGAACCGCCCGGCCTGCACTGTCTATCACATTCACGCCCATCTATCATAAGTTATTAGTGCCCTCGGCGGAGCTCGCCGGTAACATAGATGGCAGCACCATCGCTAGAAGACCTCGACGGGCGTGGCGGTCCTTGTGAAATGTGAACTATATAACTAATATAGTGTAGTGAGCATCACGAGCGTGCTACTTACCACCATGAGACCACTGTCCGACTCACTTCTCTACCAGCTCAGTACCCAGTACCCACTGTCTGTCAGTTCCGAGGATTGATAAGAACTCGGAGCTTTGACGTGATCGCCGTTTTTGTCACGAATCTGATGTCGTGAATGTGATGATTGGCGATACTTGATGATGCTGTGCCGATCTCAAGCGATATTGTTTTGTCGTTCACTATTCCCTTTTAGCTCGAGGAAGAGGACATTGAGTTGAAATTGTGGGTATGACCTTAGGCAAGGGCTACATAAATACTGTGAACTCATAGGCATCGAAGGATGCGCAGTTGTTCGCTTATTGGATCTCAATTTGTGTCACTGGCAGTGCATTTCGAGTATGTGCCGCGATGCATCATGTGCTACGCGATAAGGGCATGTTCGATATTGCTATCTGCCGAGTTTGTTATCAGCCCGTGCTCTAAGCGTGTTGGCTGTGTGAATGTGGCATCGAAATGTGGCATGAATATGGTTTCGGGGCACGCGCTGATATGTCCAGTCAGCTCCCGAGAACAGATTCAGTGAGCGCTGACCGCAACTAGATGCTCGTAGCGCAGGCATCGAAGTCGTCTGTCTCATCTCATCACCTGTCGCTGTCCGATATAGGAACGGCCGTGCTCGGTGTCATCTCATCATTTGTCGCCATTTTGTCGCTCTCTGTTGTTGGAAACAGTGCCCTGGATGCTGGTATGAAAGTTTTTATTGAATATAATGGCCAATAAAACGCACATGAGCCAAATGTCTTGATGGAGTTTGCTGAATTGGGCCTTCCACCGAGGTAGAAATGCCGGGGAACACTGAAAATAGCGACATAAAGATGGCAGTTAGTCGAAGAATAGAGGTCTCTGGGACTCGCAAGACCAGACTAGATGGCAGCACAGAAGGCTAAACGGCTGAAAACACGCTCCAGAAACCCAGAGCTTCGTCCACAAGCCGCACCAAACCATGTATCGATGCCACTATAATACGGTCTAATGCGCTTGGAAGTGGGCGGAGCCTAAATAGCCCTCAAACTGAGATCGGTATAAGGCACTTCCAGGCGCCCCAACGGGTTTACCCTGGTGGCCGAGTGGATAGCGTGACGTCAGCATGCATTTTAGACTTTTGAAGGTTTGGGGTTCGAGACCCGTTTATGACGGAAAAATTTATCGTAAGTATGGGTGTTTCCGGGTCTCGAACCCAAAACCTCCGAAAGTCTAAAATGCATGCTGACGTCACGCTAACCACTCGGCCACCAGGGCAAACCCGTTGGGGTACCTGTGAGCGCATTATACCGATCTCAGTTTTAGGGCCAATTTGGCTCCGCCCACTTCTGCCCCATCGCCACGCCTTCTTTGGTGACGTAGGGACGCATCGCCGGGAATAAAGTCGCGTTTCATTGGTCGTTTGAAAACTGATCACTGTCCCTGAGCAGCTTTTCGTCTCGTATCAGTCTCGTATTCTCCTTGCTCTTTGTCGAAGGTAATTCTCACGCGGCACCCAGCCCACCTCCCTCCGATCCATCTCTAAAAGAGGCATTAGAACTTCACGCGTTTATTGAGACAGTAGTCAACAAACAAATATCAAATGGTTTCTCTAGGAAGGGGGAGGGTATCGTTGCATGGACCGAACAGTCTCGAAGCCGGGGGGGGGGGGGGGGGCGGAACGCCTCGGGCAAGGTCAGGCAGGTCAGTGCTGCCTCGCCGGGTGGCGGACGGGGCGGCGCCGGCGGCAGTCCGTTCCTGGCAGCTAGACCGGCCCGCCGAGCCGATTGACCCGATGATGACCTCTGATGGCCGCGGGCGGTGACAGCCGCCAATCTGGGCCGTCTGGGAGCGAGTGGAGACCGGAAAGGGGAAGCTAGGGGGGGGGGGAGGGACAGGAGAGGGAGGGTCAGGGTGCCACGGATTGAGGGAACGACTACAGGGAAGACTGGCCCCGCACGCAGGGAGCGGCATTACGCTTAGGTAGCGGCTACACAACAGTGCAAAGGACACATCGGAAAAAGTGAGACAATACACATTGAGCGGACAATATGATAGGGCACTTATCAATTTTTCTTTTTTATTTCTTACAAAATCATACAAATAATGATGATACAGAGCAATGGACAGTTTTGATAAATATCTATAAAAAAACAACAGCCCCACAACCTCATACTACCAATCTAAGCGACATGGAAAAATACATAAGATCATTACAATACAGAGCATTGCTTCTAAAGTCGACTCGACATCAGTCTCATCGCTAATCTAGCGAAGATACATGTAGTAGGATGGATATCAATAGACTTCATTCGTTGTCTCAAAATGCTAACGACAAGCACTACGGCCGGTTTCAGTACACCAGCTTGACGACTCATCCGCCAACACCGCAATATTCTAGCTTCTAAATGTTCCACACAAGTCTCTGGTCCTAAATAACTGCCCAAATATGGCTTCGTCGAGCAAACCACCGAACATTGTACATGGTTCGCATTTGGAGAAGTCAATGTTCTAGAAAATAAATAGCGCATAATGGAGCGTAAAACACCGAGGCGTTTAAAGAACTCGTTGATACAACCATCACAGCGAAAAGCGAGCAAACGAATAGATTACATACGAGCAAATCCAGGATGCAGACAGAGAAAGGACAATTATGAACAGAAAATATGTCGAAAGGCAATAACTCCTTCAATCTTTTGCCTTATCGCTCAACAAGTTGTTGCGATAATTGATGTAATTCAGATAGTTCATCATCAAAAGCTAGACGTACACATTTGCTTTCTGCACCTCTCGCTAAGTTCTCTGTTGATTTATACATTTTTTTTTTTATAATTTATAAGTCGCCCTTCATTCACTGCGGTCGCATCTCTTACCGGCATTCATCGCAATCTTAACATCTACATAGGTGGTATTCAGTGCATGCTCAACGATTGATATTCACTGCATGCCCTCCAAACGGCAGTACTCCCAAAGTACTTGGTACGGCAGGCATTCATTGCAATGCCGATACACTTTCAGTCTCGAATCGCTACGGGGTCACTATAGCCGGGATTCACTGCATCCCCTCTCATGCCGGTATTCACTGCAGGCCTCCCGCCGGTATTCTCTGCAACTCTGCCTTCAACCGGAATTCAGTATAGTTCTGACACCACCTCTGGCTCGGATTCACTGCAGACCCTCCTCCTGCCTGTATTCACTGCAGCTCGGACACCAGCTCTGGCCAGGATTCACTGCAGACCCTCCTCCCTCCCGCCGGTATTCACTGCAGCTCGGACACCAACTCTGGCCAGGATTCACTGCAGACCCTGCTTCCGCCGGTATTCACTGCAGCTCGGACACCAGCTCGGGCCGGCCGTCTCTACCGACACTCAGTCGTCGATGGCGACTATCTGCGCCGGACTGCTGGGCGGCCGTCGGCGGCGGCGGAGGCACCCCCGGTAGTCGCTCTCGTGCCGGTACCACACCAGGGATTGTGGGTCCCAGGGGCAGAGTCGGAGAGGAGTACCGTCCCAGGGTCGCGTAATCGGCTGAAACGGGGAAACAGGTCCGAGTTAGACGGGAGTGAGTGAGTGAGTGAGAGAGAGGGAGAGGGAGAGGGAGAGGGAGAGGGAGAGGGAGAGGGAGAGGGAGAGGGAGAGGGAGAGGGAGAGGGAGAGGGAGAGGGAGAGGGAGAGGGAGAGGGAGAGGGAGAGGGAGAGGGAGAGGGAGAGGGAGAGGGAGAGGGAGAGGGAGAGGGAGGAGGGAGAGGGAGAGGGAGAGAGAGAGAGAGAGAGGAGAGAGAGAGAGAGAGAGAGAGAGAGAGAGAGAGAGAGAGAGAGAGAGAGGAGAGAGAGAGAGGAGAGAGGAGAGAGAGAGAGAGAGAGAGAGAGAGAGAGCAGTGACAGCGGGAGCGATTGCATTGAGTTTGAGTTTCGTACGGCTTGTCAATTAGGACTGGTGTCTCACAAGTTCTGTAAGCAGACATCATCCACGGTAACCATGCTGGCACATAGCTACCAAAAGTCTGCTGCTCTAACACTTCACAAACTGCTACAGCAACAAAACAAATAACCTGCTTCTTTTAAAAACGAGTTCCATGTAACTTTGAACACCTCACCATATTGTCGCTAAAGCTCTTGAAAGCAGGTTCATACGTTCAACAGCCCTCCCGTTACCTGTGTCTCCGTTATGACTATGTTGCCTGCCTCTCCGTTGGGACTATATTTCCAGAGTCTGTTGGGAATATGTTATCTGCACTCTGTTAGGGCCATGCTTCGTTACCTGTGTCTCCGTTGGGACTATGGTCCTTTACCTGCCTCTCCGTTGGGACTATGTTTCCCGTGTCTGTTGGGACTATGCGCTGTTACCTGTATCTTCGTTGGGACTATGTTTACAGTATCTGTTCGGGACTATACGCTGTACCTGTGTGTACCTGTAACTATACCTGTAACACGGGCGGGATACCTGGTACAATGACATGCTTGTGACCCCCACGGTCAGGTCAGAGTCCGGACGTCGCCGTTTTCTGTACTCTGCGGTGTCAGGGTACAACGAGCTGCCGGCGGACCTGCGCGCTCTTAGTCAGGCTCGATTCAAGCCGGCACTGAGGGAGCATTTGTTTGACCGCGAGCGAGCCACTTAGCTGTCCTAGTTAGCACACGTGATGAGGGTGAATGTGTGAATGATTGCGGTGACTGTTGTCATATCCCATTCGATTTGTATATGCACAACGACTTGGACATAGAATAGCCGTGTTTCCACGGACATGTCTGTAATGTGAAATAAATAAATAATAAATAAATAAATATACGTGTTACCTGTGTCTCCGTTGGGACTATGCGCTGTTACCTGTATCTCCGTTGGGACTATGCGCTGTTACCTGTATCTCCGTTGGGACTATGGCTGTTACCTGTATCTCCGTTGGGACTATGCGCTGTTACCGGTATCTCCGTTGGGACTATGTTCCGTTACCTGTATCTCCGTTGGGACTATGCGCTGTTACCTGTATCTCCGTTGGGACTATACGCTGTTACCTGTATCTCCGTTGGGACTATGTTTACAGTATCTGTTCGGGACTATATTCCGTTACCTGTATCTCCGTTGGGACTATGCGCTGTTACCTGTATATCCGTTGGGACTATGCGCTGTTACCGGTATCTCCGTTGGGACTATGTTCCGTTACCTGTATCTCCGTTGGGACTATGCGCTGTTACCTGTATCTCCGTTGGGACTATGCGCTGTTACCTGTATCTCCGTTGGGACTATACGCTGTTACCTGTATCTCCGTTGGGACTATGTTTACGTTCGGGACTATATTCCGTTTACCTGTATCTCCGTCGGACTATGTTCCATTACCTATATCTCCTTTGGGACTATGCGCTGTTACCTGTATCTCCGTTGGGACTATACGCTGTTACCTGTATCTACGTTGGGACTATGCGCTGTTACCTGTATCTCCGTTGGGACTATATCCGCTAACTGTATCTCCGTTGGGACAATATTCCCTTACCTGTATCTCCGTTGGGACTATGTTCGGCCGGCTCGCCGGGCCGCTGGATGGTGGCGTAGGTATTCTGACCCTCCTCCTGAGGAGAGGGTGTCCTCCACTCCTCCGGCCGCCTCAGGATCACCGGACACTTGCATGCTCAGCTCCTGCTCCTCGTACATCTGAAGGAGACGGAGACACGGGCCAAAGGAAGAGGTTAGAAGACATGTGTCGGCACAGATTTGTGACATGAAGGCCACAAATTGCTCAGATGACTTACGCTAGTTGTGCCTCACCTGTGACTGATAATATTTAATACTACCGCAATCAAACATTAACCATTTATAATTATTCACCTGAGTAATTATCACACGTGAATATTGTAAAATTGCATAACACTCATTCGTGTGAATCACGGTCGCTGAATATATTTCTGTAAGCATAATTATTCATCCACCAGACAGTCTTGATCCTACTCTCTTCGAGGCCTAGCTATCTTCATACTGTAAATCAAACGGTACAAATAATCACAGTCCTGAGCTCCGTTACTTTGAGTTTGTTTCCGATCCAGAGAGGGTTCTCGGTGCCAGGCGGTGTTTCGGGCTGATCCACAGAGGCCCGCGGAGTGGGCGGCTGCGGCGGCTGCTTCACCTGGCGACAGACGGCAGGCGAGGTCAGGGGCACAGTAGAACAGAGGTAGAGGAGCGCGGATGATGATATCAGACTGAATACGATGAATAACAAGATAAATATTGTCTTGACGGATCTGCATATCTAATACGCATCACCTCTATGGACCCGATAATCATTAAAATAAAACGATAATTTGGTGCTCAGTTGCAATCAAATATCGCATTACGTTGCTCAAATATTAGTCAGCATAACAAGAACAGGCCCAAATCTTCACAAACTTGATCTTGTTCTCACCAACAAACTCGACATTTGACCTCCAAATTTACCAGACGCCACCACCACCTCACCTGCTCCTTGTAGGAGGGCACGGCGACCGGCACGGTTTTTAGACAGCAGCAGACGGCGCAGAATGTCACCAGGCCGATCACCAGCACCAGCAGTAGTGCCACCAGCGTCACCAGCGTCTGATTCGTCTCGTGAGAGGTGGGCGCCGCGTCAGCCGCCTGACGAGAGAGACGTGCGCGCGTCAGAGGGGTTCAACTGGACTTTACTTGTCACTATTCTCGGCTTAGCAGGTTAAGGTAATCGACTGGGCTTTACTTGTCCCTAATTCTGGGTTAAGCAGGCTAAAGCAATCGACCCCAGGGAAACGGACATCAACGGAGATTCAGACAGAACAATAAGATACCAGTAATGTATTGGACATCATCAAACGTAGTTAAGTTACCCTACATCCCACAATTACCGCATATTCCTCTCTGGCTTACGAAGTTCAATGCCAGCTGCCGTCGTAAAAACCCGCTTCAAGTCTCAATCCTTTCATGAGTCCCATCTGTGTGTACCTCTTTATGTGTCTATCTCCCTCCCTCCCTCCCTGCCTTCCCCTCTATTCCTCCTTCCTCTCTCCTCCCACTTCTCACCTGCACTTTCTGTACGTTGAGCGCGCCATGCTCCCTCTGAATGTAGTCGTAGTGGAGGTCGAACGCTCGCAGCACCTCGCCAGTGGGTACAATCTGCTGCCGGCCGTCCGCCACGTGGAGGTACATGTCTGACCTGGAAATACACACATACAGAACACGTCAGGATTCGATCTGCGAATTATGAGAGACACGTCAGAGGGTATTATCTCCCACCTGGGAATACATGAAGGGACTCGTCAGGTGATCTCGTCAGGTCATGTGTGACCTGGGAATACACAAGGCACATCAGGGATATATCATACCTGGCAATAGATAGGGGAGGAATGTCTGCAACATATTCCACCTGTAAAGATATGGCAGTCACGTCCCCATACATTCCGGACATTGGGGATATATGACGGGGGGGGGGGGGGGGGGGCGTCCGGCAAACACATACCTATCACCTAAAACAAAACACAATAACTAATGCATTTTTTCATAAGTATTCACAACTTATGTATACAGGGTGTGGCAGAAAGATTTACCTCTTGATTTAAAAAAAAAATATTTCGGTCCCGAACAAAGATATTCAATTTATTTTTGGTACACGTATTCAGTAGCATGTCACATCTCAGCAACGGGACTATGAACCAATATGGCCACCTTTGGTCTTCACCCCTGTCCCGAAACCTCTCCCTGCGGAGAGGCGCGGGCGCCGCACGGTGTCCTCGTCGAAATTCGACCATGCCGTCTCGAGGGCCAGCTTCAGAGCGGCCATGCTGCTGTGTGGTGTTGCACACATCTCCCTCTCCAGGATGGCCCAGAAGGTGAAGTCCATCGGGCTCAGGCCCGGACTTGACGGTGGCCACATGTCCTTGTCCCAGAACCCAGGCATGTGGGTCTTCCACCATGCACTGTTGAATGAAGTTCGCCGTCTGAGACGACGCAATGTCCTGGACGACGACGTATCCGTCTCGGAACGACTGAGCGATCCAAGGCAGAGCATGTTCCTCTAGCAGATGGACATAAACGTGTAAGTTGACTTTCACACCCGCCTCGATGAAGATCAAGGGTTCTTTTGAGCCCTCGGATGCGACGGCAGCTCGAACCATGAAACCAGCAGGGTTGTGGCGACCAAAACTGGTCCGGATAACAGGATCAAACTGGATGTACCATCTACCGTTTATGATCCTCCTGATCGTTCTGGGCGAAAAATCGAGGTCCTTTGCCAGTTTGCGCATGCTTCGCCAAGGATTTCAAGACACCGTCTTGTGCAGTGTGCACGATGTTATCCAGCTTTTTGGTGCGGACATGCCTTGTTCTGTCTGATATGGACTTCTTCGACACTGTACCTGTCTCTTTAAGGCATTTCATTATATTGTTAACAGTTTTTATGGCTACACCGAGCTGTTTGGGAACGCTTTGGAAGCTGTGGCCAGCCTGCATCGGCGCCGCAATTTGGGCTCTTTTTGTAATCTCCACCATAGCTCATCAACAACAATGACGAAAATAAAAGCGATCCATGACAATTATACACGAGCCAGATGGGAGCCCCATGCACAATTTTACTAAAATATTTCCAAAACTTTTTGATTTATGGCCTGAAAACAAACAGGTAAATTTTTGTGCCCCACCCTGTAAGTAAGGCAGTAAGTACCAATCTATAGGCAAATACAAATGTCATTGCTTAGCGGTGTTTGACCTCCCTGTCGCAAATATAGGGCTCATTTGAACTAAAGAGAAGTGCTCTCACCCATCACCATGCCGCCCAGCCATTGCGGATTTATAAGCGGATTTGTAAGCGGGACAACTTAGACGACCCTTATTTGGCACGTGGCTCGTGCCGTGATCGTCGCCAGTTGCATAACGAGGGCGCGGGAAATAACTTTAGAAGAGATGGGGCGAGCAGAGAGAGAAGACCACTAATAAACCGTTTAACGGCTTTTGATGTAAGCCATTCAAAGCTAGACCATGGCCCCCCTCACGCTCAAATCAAAATACCTTTACCATATGGAAAAAAACTAGCTATCCCGCTGCTCGTACTCATCTTTCTGATAAACCATAACTTCATGTATTTATTGCTAACATTTCAGCAACGTCCATTTGCATAAATGGCTCATGTGATGGATGACATGATCAATAAGTACACTGTACACTGTACATAGATGGCGAGGCCCGACCATGTTCCAACTAAGACAACACCGACACGGACTGAACTAGTCGAAATTCTACATAATCAAAAAAGTAGCCCAGCCACGCCACATGTCCAATATTGTTCAATATTGCCCTCGCCCCCCCCCCCCCACTGACACAGTAGCGCCAGCCTATCAGCAGCAGATATCCAGAGCCTATGATCGCACTGCGCTGCGTCAAAACCCCATTGGTCGAAACCAGACCTCTCAAAACAGTCTAGGGGGTCAAGTGGGGCAGCACGGACGAGAGAACGGCAAAATCAGCACTCCATAACAATAACACTCAGCTGACTATCTGCACTAAGAATAGACCGGCCTAACAATGGGCGGGCCTGAATGGCAGGCAGACGGCCGCCGCCTGGGAACCTCCCTCACACAGTTCCACGGAACACGCTTGGCCTCAGCCTCCACGAGTCCGGCATCACGTTCCTCAGGCGGTTGTGTTCGGTGCGAACCGCAGGATCTTCACAGAGCTGACTGAAGAGGTGCATGTAGCACTGGTGCCTTCGCTGTGCCAGCTCACTATCCACACCTAACTGGGTGTGAAAACGGTCGCTGGTGTTGAAGAACGAGTCCAGGGCGTCTTGTTGATGCTTCTTCTTCGCATCTTCAAATGACTGACGAAAAATCTCCGAATGCGAAACCCCCATTTCCTCCAACGCATCCATGTGCTGACGATAGTTGGGCACACTTGCTTTGAGGACCGACACCAGCAGAGGGGTGTTGAGCAGCAGGTCACAGCGGTCACGTGGTGACCTCAGGTCAGCAGGCTGACCTCGGCTGTGTCTCGGGCTGGTCCTTGAGCCAGGCCCGCACTGCGGCAGGGTCCCAGAGCAGATGTTTCAGGTCGTCTTCAGTGAGTAGTGCCAGCAGTGGCGCGGCGTCCCACTCGAAAATACCGCTCTCGTTCTCTGTCAGTCGCACCTGTTCGACTACCTCTTCCGGTGCGATCATCAGCGCATGGAGGAGGAATTTTCTCATGTGCCACCCGAAGGTGTACCTTCGGAACATACAACACACTTCTGCTGGGAGTGATGACACTGCAGCGAACTTGATTTGTGCATCAAGCCCACCAGCCTTCGCAAAACAGAAGCAAAAAGCTGTGTTCAGAAACACACCGTGAGTGATCATGCGGCGCATGAGAACTATACGAGCTTCTTGCTCTTGAAGTCTAGGCTGGGGCTGCTGCAGCAGCAACTGTGATAAATCCCAGTTGCTCTGGATCAACAGAGTCTTCATATGATCCCGGATGTGTCTGACCGTCTTCAGGATGCCTTTCTTTCGGCCCTGTTCATCAGCTCCATGATGTTGATGTCCTTCCAGTAGAAGCACTTGAGCTCCTTAGTCTGGTAGGCTTTCTCCAGGTAGTCGAGGACTTGAAGGATGCCTTGAGAGACACTGCTCCAGCGCGGATGGCCTGCCTCTGCCTGACATAGCCAAAAGACAGCTGTCTTTAAGTGATAAGACTTGAGCATCTTACCCGGCAGGTTCGCACACTTTTTGCATGCCTTCATGGTCTTGATCACACTCCTTGGTATCTGGTCGAGGTACAGCACAGTGATCACTTCAGCCCGGGAGAAGGACCAGCGCCATTCGAGGTGTTCCGTCGCGCTGCCCGGGGCACCTACTGGCACAAGGTGCAGGCCGAACTCTCTTATGTCACTCAGAGCGGCCTCTGGCAGCCACCCCGACTCACGACATCTCGTGAAGAATTCATCGGAGGGCCAGATCACGTGCAGGCAGAGTATACGGTCCACGAGCGCTACTCCGCACTTCGAATGTGGGCTTGCCAAATGAGGCTCGTCGTGTATCTGTGGCTTGACGTAAGAGATGGCCGGTCCGTGGATGCTCAACTCTGCTCGCGGCTGCACAGCCAGCTCCAGCTCACTGCAGTACTGTCGGACGTCTTGGGCCGAGAACGGCAGGGGCTCTGTGTGCGTACACTCGGGCCGGGGCTGCTGCAGCACCCTGACGAAGCCCAGGTGGCTGGTGGGAGCGAGCATCAGCCGGGTATGTCCGAGCCGTCGGCAGTCTCGGCATGACCTCCAGGTACCTTCTCAGTTCCAACGGCCTCGGTGTCGGGTGAAACCCACTGCACGGGGCCGAGAGTGTACATCAAGTCCTCGTCTGAATAGCTTCCATAAGCTAGATCCACATCGTCAATGGTGAGCTGTTCGGCCTGACTTCCAGAGATGGAGCCGCTCTGTATGAAAAGGCGTCCGAACGGCGAGCACCTCTCACAGTTAGCCCTCTCCAGTTGTAGGGCCTGCTGCCAGGGCCGTGTCCAGAGGCGTGCAAAGGTGTGAACTCTCTGCTCATTGCACTGTTGAATGAGAAAATTGAACGGCGCGTAGAACGGGTCTTTTGCGGTGATCCAACAGTCAATCGCTGGCAGCAGGAAGGTGTTGTACTGCCTGACTAGGCGGCTTATCTTGTCTTTGGATATGTGCTTCATCCCTGGAAGTGGGCCGAGATCACGTAACGGTGTTACATGGCCTTCAGCCATGTCGTTTGGGTTCTAGGAGCCCGCACTGGATCATCGGCACCCACAGTCCCTCCGCCGTGAGTGTCGGAGTGAAACGCCGCACTGCTCACTGGTCACCCTCTGCGCCGACTAGCCGACGGCCACCGCTGCCAGCCGCTAACCCGTCACTCAACCATGTGCAGAGGCGGATCCAGCTCAGAGTTTTAAGGGGGGCAAACCATAACAATTTATCGATTCTTTCCATGCATCGTCCATAGGCGTAATGTTAAAATCATGCCGTTTGGGGGGGGGGCAAATGCCCATTTTGCCCCCCCCCCTGGATCCGCCACTGACCATGTGCACAGTGCACAGTGCAGACAGAACCACCGCCGCCTTTGTGCAATGCTCCGCCGCGGCACGCCAGCTGGCTCATGTAAACATCACGTACCCGGGGCCATGTTTATGGCCGGCAGCGGGCGATTATTTACTCAAACCACCAGGCCCTGGAGAAATAGTGTGGTACTGGGGCAACGACAAGAAGGGATATTTTCGACACACAGGTGTTTTGGTGCTGTGTCGAGTGGCTTAGTACCGGTTTCGTTCGATTCCTTTTCGACGGCCATGCATTTTTTAAAATGCATGTTAATGTTAATGCTACTTTAACTAAATTGGCATGTTAAAATGCCATTTTAACATGAAAAAAATCAAT